TTTCTAGAAACTTCTTTATGGAAGCTTCTGCTAGAAAATTCTTTCTGAATGCATCTTCTAGAAACTTCTTTCTGGAAGCATCTTGAAGAGTATTTTTGCGAGCTCTTTTTAGAAGCTTCTTTCTTCTAAAAGCTTATTTTTCGTCTTTAATATTCATTCTGAAAGCATCTTCTAGAAGCTGCTTTTCTGGAGGCTTCTTTCTGGATGCTTCTTCTGAAAAACAACTGTAGAATATTAGTCATGGAATCTTTTTCTAGAACTTTCTTTTTGGAAGCTTCTGCTAGAAGATTCTTTCGTAATGCTTCTTGTAGAAAATTCTTTGTGGAGGCATCGTGAAGATTAATTCTTGGAGCTCTTTTTAGAAGCTTCTTGCTTCTTAAAGCGTATTTTTCGACTTAAAACTTCTATCTGAAAGCTTCTTCTAGAAGCCCCTACTAGAAGCTTCTTTCTGGAGGCTTCTTCTGCAATCTTCTTTCTGAATGCTTTCTAGAAACTTCGTTCTGGAAGCATCTTCCAGAAGTTTCGTCCTAGACGCTTCTTTTAGAATATTCGTCATTGTATTTTTTTTAAGCTTCTATTAGAAGCTTCTTTCTGGGAGCTTTTTCTAGAAACTTCTCTCTGGAAGCTTCTAGAAGATTATTTCTAGGAACTCTTTCTAGAAGCTTAATTTTTCTAAAAGCCTATTTTTCGTCATTTAGCTTTCGTCATCTAGAAGCTTCTTATTGAAGCTTCTTTTTGAATGCTTCTACTAGAACATTATTTCCGAGAGCTTCTTCTAGAACCTTGTATCTGGAAGGTTTTGGAATATTACTTCAGGTAGCTCTATTTAGAAGCTACTTGCTTCTAAAGCTTATTTTTCGTTTCTTTCTGGCTTTTTCTGGATCTTCTTTCTGGAAGCTACGTTCTGTACGCTTCGTTCTTCTAAGCTTTTTCCAAGTTTCCTAGTTGAGTTCAAGTCAGTTGATCAACTTTACCTCGTCTAAACAAGCTGAGTCAATCGAATTGAAGTCAAGTCACTTGAGTCAAGTGAGTTGAACAATTCAAGACCAACAATTGAAACATCATCAACTCCATTTTGTAAACAAACCTTGTACGGCCATTTTCTCGCGAACTGAAGTCCGCCAAGGCAAAACAACATAATGAACAGGTAGGGTTTGTTTACAAAATGGAGTTGAGGCTATTTCAATTCTTGGTCTTGAATTGGCTTGCCCCGCCTAAACCTGGCTTTAAGCTTTCATGGGACTATGTTGGCGAATTTATGGTTGGATTGGCATTTTTAGGTCATTTTGACCTTTCAAGATTATTTTGGAGATCTTCAGCTTTTTTTGCGGATTGAGGTTCTATGTTGAAGGTGTTAGGACTGATTTATCATACAATTTTAGACCTTATTTGGCGTTCTAAGTGTCATTTGGCATTGTTAAGTCATCGATTTTGAAGTCATATTGGCGTTTTTTAAGCCATTTAGGAACTGATACATTTCAAGATTATTTTGAAGATTTAAGCAGAGAATTTTAGAGCAGATTTAGCGATCAAAACAGCGGTGGGAAATGCTAAAGAACTAGTTCACCAGTATGAGCGAGTGAACGATCGCTCTTTTTAAATGAACGGTAGCTCACCCGCACACTACACCAAAATAGCTGACAGCTTGTGCTGAGCGAGGGCGTGTGTTTTCTATATGACAAGTGAGTTACAACTAGATCACAGATATAAAGAGAGAGTAATTTCCATTTAATTCCACTACTTTATTTGCTTATCCTTGACAGATACGCGTATTTCGTCTACAATGTGCAGACTTCTTCTTGTTCTTTATACAGGTATTCCACTAAGACGCCCACATACATCACCATAGATCACAGAGCCGCGAACGGGAGCTGAACGCTAGTGTTCGTTTGCTATGTGAATGCGACAGCTTGAGCTAATTCACTGAGCGAGAGCGCGAACGCGGGAGCTGGACAATCAAGGTGAGGTAAAAGGATCATGCTAGAACACCATGAAATTGTCGACTAGTTTCCTTCTGTCTTACCGATATATACCGCACATCGCTAGACGGTAGCGTCTGTGTGCTATGTGAAAGCTCAGTTAGAGCTAGTTCACTGAGCGACGGGAGCTGGACGAGGTATGGCTCTCCCTAGTACAGTTTTTCTCAACCGCTCTCTATTTACATGCCATTTGAAAGTTTGCTTTGATGCATCGATAGATCAGTAGGAACATTTTGGTGTACGCGATAGCTGTTCAATGACTCAGTGTCGTCATGCGTCTTCTGTTGAAAAGTTGAGGCACGCTGTAAACTTATAGATTTAGAATATCAAATATAAAATAATACAGTAACAATTTTATGAAGGTTCTGTAGACCATGATTTAGACTTGTAGCATGCTTTTAAACCTCGATGAAACTTTCAATGTTACTTGGGTAGTGAAGGGGTTTCCAATGTGTCAATATTTCATTATTTCAAAATGAGCTGATCTAAAGAACCAGTTCACCTTAGTGAGCTAAACGGATCAGATCCGCTCAGTACGATGAGCTATTTTGTCTGCTATTTCATCAAAATTACATTTTGGCATTTCAAGGCGTTATAGAGATTTGAATGTCATTTTGTCGTTTTCAAGCCACTATGGTGCTCCTTAGACCCATTTTTCGGTATTTTTAGGACCATTCTATACTTTTTGTGATTTTTCGAGATTGACCTTTCAAGAATGTTTTTGGAAGTTTTCGCTTTGGGAATCAACTTCCCAATAATCGGGAAATGAGAAACCTGTCTCCCGGAAAATTTTGCCGCATCCTGGGAATGTTAAAAAATGCATAAAAATAGACATAAGAGATGAAAAAAAAAAACGTTTTTTGACAATACAAATTGAGGTGTCCACATGTTGTGATCAATTCGTTAGAAATACGATTTCACTAAACAAAGAACGTTGTGGTTTTGGACGGAAAAAACGCATTCAGTTATGTTGCAACAAACTCCTATCTGAAATTTTCTGATAAGACACGTTCACTTTCAATTGAAGGCAGCTGGATTGTTTTGAAATCATAAAGTAATTGCTGAAGATTCTGTGTCAAGCTCTTTCAGCATTACTTTGCTTATGCCGCTGAATTATTGGTTTCAGATAATTCTTGGATAGCAGATGCAAGTTGTAGTAGTAGTAATAGGTTTAATATTGACCCTTTGTCTGTAGTTTGGGGTCAATTTTTTACAAATTAATAGGTAGTAGGTTCAATATCATCAATGCAATGATTAATTTGTTTCGACCATAAAAAAATCTAAGGCTAATCTAAGCACAGGAAGCTCACTATGCTCTACCTGATCACTATGGCCCTCTTTCCCCTAACTAAAGTAAGGTTGCCATTCAATGCTTAGCCTTTAGAAATGATGATAATAAATATTCAGTGAGCAGTAAATGCGCTAACCTCAGCATTGGTGTTCGACTTAGAATTTCTTTCAAACTATGCTGAGATATAGATTCCCTTTGTATTGTTATCTGAATTCACTCATCCTACGCTTTTTGAAAGTTGAATTTCCGTAGAATTTTTATCAAGCATAATTTTCAAAAATTCCTTTTGTATTCCGCTTTGAATGTCGCTGAAATCGTACTATAAATTACAACGAAATTGTTCTCGAAATTATGTTGAAATTCTCCTTAGAATTCTCCTCGGAAGTTCTGATTCAGAGATACCTTCGAATTCTACTATTCCCTGTGAATTCTCCTGAGCCTTCCTTAAGTAATCTCCCCTTGGAATGCTGACACAAAATTATCATCTACTTAGATTAAAAGTCCTTTGGAACTATCTCGAAATTCATTTCCAAATTCCTTTGAAGTTCTTATCACAATTGTCTTGGAATTGTGGTCAAAGTTACATTGAAATTGCGATTGAAATCGTTCCGGAATGATCTCGATTTCTCGCGGATAAAAGCTCAATCTCGCAAACAAACTATATTAAATGGTAGAGGAATCATTCCTCCACCTGATTGTGCTGTTGGTTCCCAAGATTGAGCTTTTATTCGCTAGAAATCGGCGATTACGCCCTAGTCCCGAATCAGTCCGGAATTCTCCAATCGGACTAAATCTCAGTTACCATTGCACGCATGATATTCCGATGTTAAACCAGAGTCAACAATTGGAAAAAGGTCCCAAATAGGCCAAAACGTCTTGAACAGAGTAAAAAAAAACCATAGTTTTCAACCTTCCCCTGAGGCTTCTTATCCAACCCGCCTAAGTACTCTTCAAACGGGCTTCCTTTTGCGAATATGATCGCAGAAGTTCTTTCCGAGAAAATCCAATCTACCTGTTTGCAGAAACCTAGCTCCACCCACGTTCGCACAAACCCTAATCCCATATATTCTACTTCTGCACTTGCCTTCCCGTGCCCCGTGCCGGTGGTTGGCAGCTTTATTGCTGACTCTGTGACGAACAGTTCGGTTCGGTTCGGTTCCGTGTGGCAAATGGAAAAAAATATTCTAGTTTGTCTTAATCGGCAACATTCCTCCTCTTCCGTGACGTGACACAGAATCCTTCATTCCCAGCCAGCCACGCCACAAGACGGCGAAGGACAAACACACACACACACACCCATACACAAACAAACAGTGCGCTGAAGTACTTTCACACGCCAGTTGCAAAAAACTTTAAACTCGCAATCGCAAACCACACGAACGGGAAATGTATTCCAACAATGATGGTGCATAGATGCAGGCGCAGTTCTCTCTACGAGTAGGGGCAACTTGGCAGAATACCGAGAATTATCAATGAAAGTTTTTCCCCCATTGGATGGAATTGATTTTTTTTTAGCCGGAGGGAGATCTTGAGACTCACACACTGACACGCGCTGCTGGCTTCCTTCCAGGAAGTGGAAGTTATCGTACAGTAAATCAGGAAGAGCCTTGGCCGGGTCCATAAAACCCCGATTTTATGCAATATCCTAAACACGCAACAAGAACACATACTCACAGACACGTGATGATTATGTGTGTGAGTGCTTATGCATCGATTCCAGTGCAACTTACCTGAGGAATTTTTCCTTTTGTTGGCCCGTCTCGACAGCGGTGATGTCGTGGAGCCAGCCGTACCACCTGATGGCGATGTGGATTGTGACGACGGAGATTCGGAGGTCCGTGTGGGACTGGAAGTACCTCCTCCCCCGCCGCCGCCACCACCACCACCACCTCCTCCGGTGGTGGTGAGGACTGGAATTTTCTGTCCACTGACGGCATCGACGGCCGCCGTGGCGCCTCGTTCCATCGGTTGATCCATCTTTTTCCAGCGATAGCGATCGTAAACGTTGTTCGGACGCATACGTATTTCGAAGCGAGTCGATTCGCGAGTTGTCTTGATTCAAGAAAAAGTGTACACACAAATGGGCGCCGATTGAGCCTGCTCCAACGGGATATGGTTGGACAATCAACGCGTTAGAATCGAACCACCGTCAAATTGGTTCAATTGATATTTAAACACTTTTCACAGGACATTATCACCTTAGGAAATATTTATGACTAAGAGAGAATGGTTCACTTTTGTTTACTTATAAAAAAAAACTAGTATTCGAATCACAACCCTTCCGCTGTTCGGTTTTAAGCTGTTTTTATGTATCAACTGCTACGCTTTCTTAGCGTATGTTGTTGGCTCAGGTGATGGGCTGCCTGAAAAGAGAGGAATTTAAAATGTGGTTAAACAAAAAGAAGACTAATGATTGGCTTATGCTTTCGAGTTGGAAATTAATTATGGAGGTGTCGAAGGGTGCATTCATTGCTACTAAATTTGATGAGTGAAACATCTTCAGTAGCAAAACTACAGTATCCCTTCGATAATCCGACGTTGCCAGATTACAAAGTTCGCAAACGTCATTTATCATTGGGCACCAGTGTGTAAGCTGATACCTAAGTAGGCTACAAACCAACAGTATCGAGAGCAGCAACGAATTTTCCATTAGCAATTTAGTTGTTTATGTTTTGATTTAAAGGGTGATACGGTCAAAATTTGGTCAAGGGAAAACGCGTGTAAATCGGTGAAATCGTTTATTTAAAAAATCAAATTAAATTTCTTTTTCAAGTTCAACTAGTATAAAATTCAGGAAAAATATTCAGTTAGGCTTCCGCTTTTCCAAATCCGAATTGCCGGGCCTTACGCTTGACCCCTGCCATCAGATTTTGTACAGCCACCTTGTCCACCTTCTTCGCCGCAGAAAGCCAGTTAGCCTTGAACTGCTGCTCGCCCTTAGCAGTTTTTTTTGTCTTCTTTAGGTTCCGCTTGACAATAGCCCAGTATTTATCAATTGGGCGGAGCTCTGGCGTGTTGGGAGGGTTCTTGTCCTTGGGAACCACCTGCACGTTGTTGGCGGCGTACCACTCCATGGCCTTTTTACCGTAATGGCAGATGCCAAATCCGGCCAAAACAGTACGGAACAACCGTGTTTCTTCAGGAAAGGCAGCAGACGTTTATTCAAACACTCTTTCACGTAAATTTCTTGGTTGACAGTCCCGGAAGCTATGAAAATGCTGCTTTTCAAGCCACAGGTACAGATGGCTTGCCAAACCAGATATTTCTTTGCGAACTTTGACAGTTTCATGTGCTTGAAAACATCTGCTACCTTTCCCCTTCCTTTTGCCGTATAAAACTCCTGTCCCGGAAGCTGCTTGTAGTCGGCTTTGACGTAGGTTTCGTCGTCCATTACCACGCAGTCAAACTTCGTCAGCATCGTCGTGTACAGCCTCCAGGATCGCGCTTTGGCCGTCGTATTTTGTTTATCATCCCGATTTGGAGTCACTACCTTCTTGTAAGTCGATAGGCCGGCTCGTTTTTTGGCTCGATGCACGGTTGTAGACGATACACCCAGCTTATTTGCGGCATCTCGGAGAGAGAGGTTAGGGGTTTGCTTGAAACTACCGGCAACTCTCTTTGTCGTCTCAGCGGCTTCCGGTTTTCGATTTCCCCCGATCCAGACTTCCTGGCTGTCGACAAACGTTCCCCAAACACTTTAATTACATTTGTAACGGTTGATTTGGCAAATTTTAGCGATTTTGCCAACTTTGCGTGCGAGTAGCTCGGATTTTCGCGATGCGCGAGCAAAATTTTGATACGCTGCTCTTCTTGCTTGGACGGCATTTTGACAACTGAAGAGTGAATTCCAAAATCAAAATAGGAGCAACATTCTACACACACACACCTTCAAAATGAGGGGTGTTCAGGTTTTTTAAATGCAAAATTGAAAGAAATACGTCAAGTTGATATTGACCAAATTTTGACCGTATCACCCTTTAGTAGGGTCGGATGCCGACGCCGGTGGTGTAGTGATAAGCGTGACTGCTTTCTCACCCCAATGGGTCTGGATTCAATCCCAGCCGAGGTCGGTGGGATTTTTCTGAGGCATAAAAATATCTGGTCACGTCTTCCTTCGGAAGGGAAGTAAAACCGTTCGGCTTCGGCTTTCACTTCGCACATTACTACTTTCTAGCTGGTCCTCTCGCCATTTTCGTTGCAGCGCTGACATGATCTGCGTTACTACTCTGCTGACGGCGTTAAAGGTGCCCTCATCTCGACACATTTCTTCGACGACATTCTCTGTGCTAAGGGCGAGCATCTCCTCTCGCACAGCATCAAGTCTAGGACATTCGAAGACCACGTGCTCTAGTGATTCTTCCACACTCCGGACAGAAGAGTGACATTGTGTGTCTGAACCAGTGGTGGCACGAGTCCTGGAGTTTAACATTTTTCCTTAACATTTGATACTTTTTGCGATAACCATTTTGACGACACACAAAAACAAACTGGCAAGCGGCAAAAATGTCATGACATTTCTAAACTGTTTTCTGCCAGCGACAGAACATTTTCGCACAAAGAAGCAGACAAGACCGGCGGCGCGCGCGACATAAATTTATGTCGTGTAGAATTTTGCTGATTTCTGGCTAATTACTGCATTTATTTGATGTTTATTGCATGGAATTAAAAGATAAGAATGAAGACTGACCACTCATAAGCATTGATGTTAAAAATATGCGTAAATAAGGAAGTTGGTAATTTACTGTCACACGCAAGCCTGCAGCTAAAATTTCATTACAATAAACTGTTTGGAAAAATCAGGCTGCGAGATTTTATTTATTCTCTATCTCCGCTGTTCGCTTGGAATGTAGTTATAAACGGCCGCCCGTGTGCTGGCTGTTTTGTTTCGCTCTGGACGATGGTTTTTCAAAAAATGTACTGTTGCCACCTCTGGTCTGAACCGATGCAGGTACTTCCTGAAGCAGCCATGACCAGACAGGAACTGCGTCAAGTGGAAGTTGACTTCTCCATGCTTCCTGTTCACCCAGGTCGAAGGAATCGGTATTAGCCTGTGTGTCCATCTACCGTTCTCTGCTCAATCCCACTCCTGCTGCCACTTAGCCATCGACATCGTTCTCACCATGTTTCGTATTCCTCTGGTTTCTCTCGTCATAAAGCACTCGTAGTCCTGCGCCAAGGTGATGCCGATTGGGATCATACCGGCGATAACGCATACTGCCTCCATCGAAATGGTTCACGACTCGCATGGCCATGAGCCGGAACGTACTGCTCAATTTTCTTTGGTTCTGCTTCGTTTTCAGCACTTCAATCTAGGCTGGACCTCCGTACCTTAGTATCGATGACGACACACTAGCCAGAAGACGCCTCTTGCTGCTGCTTGGACCAGAATTGTTCGGCATGATTCTGGCTATTGCATTGATGAAGGTCATCATCGCCGCCTTCTCGCAAGCATATTCGATGTGGCTGTTAAACTTTAGCCGGTCGTCGATCATCACTCCCAGATACTTCAGCACGCGCTTCGAAACAATGGTGTGCTCTCCAACGGTAATTTATGCCCGCTGCATTTTCATTCTGCAGCTTCGCTCGTTGCATTCAGTTACCAATCGTATCTATCGCCTCGGCCGCCAGCATTTCCACTTTTTCCAGCGTCTCGCCGGTTACCGTCAAGACGACATCGTCCGCAAAGCCAACGATCTCAACTCCTTTGGGCAGCTTGAGCGTCGGCACACCATTGTATATTCCTGACGTGATTCTAAGCGATTTCTGTCCCGTGTCTGTCGCGTAGATCAGGACCCGGTTCTGGAAGTAACTACTTAGAATCCTGCAGAGGTAGTCTGGAACCCTCATTCTATGGAGCGCTTTGGCGATCTCCTCCCAGCTGGCGCTATTGACTGCATTCTTCACATCAATCGTAATCACGGCGCAGCTCGATTTCCTCTCCACTTCTGTTTGGAAGCCTTCTCGGCTCTGTCCGATTGCATCCACCGTCGATCTCTTTTTACGGAATCCGAACTGCCTCTCCGACAATCCGTGTTCACTCTCTGTGCATTTTGTCAGCCTGTTCAGGATGATCCTCCATAAGAGCTTTCCGACAGTATCCAGCAAGCGTATTGGCAACAGCACAAGCTTTTGTACCTTCCACCTATCAGGGAACTGACCCTCGTCCAGACATTTCTGTAGCACCATCCTGAACATGTCCGGGAACGTCTGGATCACCGCCTTCAACGCCACGTTGGGAATTCCATCCGGGCCGGGAGCTTTATTCGCCTTCAACCCTTTCGCTGCTGCCATGAATTCCTCGTTGGAGACTTGTTCAACGCGGCGTTCATCTTCCTCGCCATATGGTGTAGGTGGCCAGGTCGTTGGGTCATGCTGTGGGAAAAGTCCCTCCATGATGACTTTCAGCTTGTTGGGACACATTTCAACCGGCATCGTTGGACCTCTGATCTTCACCATCGCGACTCGGTATGCGTTGCCCCAGGGGTTGGCATCGGCATCACGGCACAGCTCCTTGAAACTGTTCGACTTGCGCAACTTTAGCTTTCGTTTTAGTGTAGCCCTGGCCTCTCTGAACACCACCCTGCGCTCCTCTCTGTCTGCTTCCGTTCTTGGTCTCTGAACGCGCCTTCTGGCTAGAAGATAACTAGCACGGAGGGCTGCTGGACACCGCCTGTTCGTTGGTTCCAGTTTTCTCGGCATAGTTGTGTCACATGCCCTTGCTGTCTACCCTTAGAGCTTCGATGAAGAGATCCTTATTGAATGCCTTCGTCTTCCACTTCCGCTCGCTTACTTTCGTCCTCCGCATTTCCACCGGTGTCCGTTCGCCGATACTGTACCGGATCGCCTCATGGTCACTATGGGTGTACTCTTCGTACACTCTCCAGTTTATATTTGCCACTAGCGACGTACTGCAGAAAGTGACGTCGATAATGGATTCCCTACTATTGCGGAAGGTGCTGATGGTTCCTAAGTTGGCCAGACTTACGTTCAACTTTGCCAGAGCTTCCAGCAGGCTATACCCTCTTGCGTTGGTACACCTGCTCCCCCCATCCACTGCCCAAGCATTGAAATTTCCTGCAATGACGACTGGTTTCCGTCCAATAAGCTCTCCAGTGAGCCCATCTAGCATCTGGTGGAACTGCTCAATAGTCCATCTCGGGGGTGCGTAGAAACAACATACATAGATTCCATTGATTTTGGCGATCACGAAACCTTCGTATGAGCCCGCCACCACTTGTTGAATGGGATACCTGCCCATGACTTGTATGGCCGCCATTCCTGCTCTATCCGCCACCCAGTTACCATTATCGAGAGGGACTGTTGTCGACTGCCACAACAGTTGCTGTGCTGTGTTGCAATGATT